CCGCCATGGGCCTCAGCCGGCGCCTCGGCGCCCCCGAGATGGTCGTCGTGGGGCGCGCCATCATGGGCCTCCACTCAGGTGGGTGCTCCCTGGCGCCCGGCCGCTCCTGGCTCAGTCCCCTGTGGCTTTTGTGCTGGGGAGGACCTCARTGTGCCCCACGGCCACAGGACGTCCCCAGCTGCACACTGACAGCCCCACCATAGGGTGGCTGGGGTGTCCCCTGTCCCCGCAGGCATCTGCCTCAGCGTGGTGCCCCTCTACCTGGGCGAGGTGGCTCCGCGGAGCCTGCGCGGGCTCCTGGGCCTCGTGCCCAGCGTCTTCATCTGCCTGGGCGTCTTCTCGGCGCAGGTGCTGGGGCTGCCGGAGCTGCTGGGCCAGGTGAGCACGGTGCCCCCCGCGCTGCTCTTTCTGTCCCCCTTGCTGCCATCACGGCCCCTTTGGGCTCCTCGCAGGACMGGTACTGGCCCCTGCTCCTGTCCGTGGTGGCGGTGCCGGCCGCCCTGCAGCTGCTGCTGCTGCGCTGCTTCCCGGAGAGCCCGCGCTACCTGCTCATCGAGAGGAACGACGTCCCCGGCGCCACCGCGGGTGAGGGCGACCGGCCTGGGAGGCGCTGGGCGCTGCCAAGGCCTCCCCAGAGCAGCTTTGGCCCTGGGCAGAGCGCAGCCCGCTCTCTGTGCACYTCCCTTGCCTGGGCACGATGAATTTAGCTCCTTAGGAAAAGGTCCTGCAGCAGCCCCGGGTCTGGCAGGGCCCCCTGCACCCCCTTGCTTTGCTTGGTGCCCGTCACCAAGGGCATCACCAAGGGGACACCAAGGTGCCCATCACCCTGGTGTCAGGGCAGGTGCCCTGAGGAGGCCACGGCAGGCGCGGAGCCGAACCCGCCGCGCACGGGCGACCCCGGCGCTCCACCCGCAGCGCTGCGCTGGTTCCTGGGCACCTCCGACGTGCGGGACGAGGTGCGGGAGATGCGGGAGGAGCAGCGGGCGCTCTCCTCCCTGCACACGGTCTCGGTGTGGCGGCTGCTGCGGGACCGCTCCGTGCGCTGGCAGACGCTCTCCGTGGCGGTGGTGAACGCCGGCATGCAGCTCTCGGGGATCGACGCCGTAAGCCCCGCGGGGTGCCGGGCCAGGGCGGCGCTGAGACCCGGCAGCTCGTTTCACCCAAGGGCTGCTCCATCCTGCGCTAATGCCGCTTCCCTGGCAGGTCTGGTTTTACACCAACACCATCTTCGAGGCGGCGGGCATCCCGGCATCGCAGATCCCCTACGTCACCGTGGGCACCGGAGCCGTGGAGATCGTGGCAGGGCTCATGGGGGTGAGCGAGGGGCCGGGGCGGCACATGGGGGTGTCGGGGAGAGCCCCCCCCCCAGCCCTGCTCCCAGCCACCGCTCCCGCCAGTGCGTCGCCATCGAGAGGCTGGGCCGGCGGCCGCTGCTCCTCGCCGGCTTCTGCTCCATGGGGCTCTGCTCCGCCGGCATCACCGTCTCCCAGCTGCTGCAGGTAGGAGCCACCCGCGGCGCCCACCCTAGAGCCGGGCTGTGCAGCGCCCTGCGGCACCCTTGGCACCGCATCTCGTCACCCTGCAGGCAGCGCTGCCCGGGATGCACTACGTGGCTGCCGCCTGCGTCGTGGGCATCATCGCCGGCTTCTGCCTCGGACCAGGTAGGCAGGGATCATTCCCAATCCCTCACAGCCAGGAAAAACCCTGGCAGCATTCCCAAGGCGCCTCCAGAGGCGGCATCCGCTCCCGGCTCCGTGCCCTTACGTGAGTGTAGGCGTGAGGGCCACGCAGAGAGCCTGGCCCGGTTTACCCGGTTGATGTATTAGTGGAGCTGGGAGCAGATCTATAATTCATCCTCAGCCCAGACTTTCTTCACTGTAATTACATCTTTAATTAGGATTTTAATGGCTCATTGTTCACAAACAATGATGAATAGGACTTTTAAAACCCAAAATATATATATATATTTATTTCTATTCTGGGTGAGCTGTGAGTAAGAGTCCACCAGGGGCTCTGCTCCTCCCTGAATTATTTTATATATATATATATATATATATTAATATTTATTTTGTTGGATCATCTTTTGCAACAAGGTCCCTGCCCGCTCCGTGCGAGGCAATGGGACCCCAGGCACATTCCCACATTGAAGCCACAGATCCCTGCATGTCTGGGGATACGCGCTGGCAAAGGGACACGATCCTGTGGCCCAGGAGTCCAGGCACAAGGGCTGTGTCCTTGCAGGAGACGCAGCCGGGAAAGCGGGCGCGATGGGACCCCGGCACCAGGGCTGGGTTTCCATTCAGGCTGGCGGCTCCTGCAAAGGGAGGGCCCTGGGGTGGCCCGGGGAGGGGGGGACACTAACGTGTCCTCCGCACAGCCGGCGTCCCCTTCCTCATGACGGCCGAGCTCTTCACGCAGTCGCACCGCCCGGCCGCCTACATCGTGGCGGGGACCGTCAACTGGCTCTCCAACTTCACCGTGGGCCTCGTCTTCCCCTTCCTGCAGGTACCAGCCCTGCGGGGCCACGGGAGGAGGAGCAGGGAAGGGGGCAGCGGCTCCTGCTGCTCTCCAGGTTGGACCTAATCCCAACTCCGGGTCTGCCTGGGTTGGGGGGTGATGACGGGATCCATCCCCAGGAGGGACAACGGGAAGGGCAGATGTCCATGCTGAGCTGGGGCGCGTGGACGTGCACCCTGTGCCCAGTCTCTTGCTGCCCGCAGATGTCAGCCGGCCCCTTCTGCTACCTCTTCTTCTGCGGCACCTGCCTGCTCGTGGCGCTCTACATCTACGCCGTCATCCCCGAGACCAAGAACAAGACCTTCGTGGAGATCAGCCAGACCTTCGCCGCCCGCCGCTCCTTGCCCTGCGCGCCCGCGCGCCCCGTGGGCATGGCCAAACTCGGGYGCTACGGGGCCCTGGGGGGCAGCTCGGCGGGCGGGCGGGCTCCCCTGCTCTCCTGAGGTTCCCCCCGCACCCACAGCCCGGGCAGGGGCACAGCGGGTGGTGSAAGAGCCTCGGGGCTGCGGGTGCCCAATTGCTCTGGCTCCAGCGGCGCTCGGTCTGCAGGACGTGTCCCACGGCTGCGCCTCGTCCTCCTGCTGCACCTCGTCCTCCTGCTGCCTCCTTCTGCTCCTCTGGCCCGGGAATGCGCCCACAGGTGCCCAGACRGCTGGGGACATCCTCACCAACAGCTCCCTGCTCCCTCCAAAGCTCCCCGGCTGTGGAGCAACGTGGGACCCACGGGGCTCTCCAGCCGGGATGTGGCAGTCACCACTGCAAGGGCCGAGCAACCCACCCGCAGTGCCAGGCACAGCACTGCAGCCAGCACCTCGGGCATCGCCTCCATGCTGGAAAAGCTGCTTTTCCAGGGATGGGGCCTCCCGAACCACCTCRAGCCCGGGCACATGGACATCAGCTGCACGAGGGGCTGAATAAAGAGCATTGCCTCCACCGCTGGTGTCCGGCAATGTGGGCACGGGATGCGAGACACCCAACGAGCGGTGCCACGACCAGGACACTGCACCCATGGGGATGGGGGTGCTCAGCCCCACCGGTCCCCCCAGCCCTGGTGTCTCCAGCACCACCGGCTGCTTCGGGATCTCTCCCCGCAGCTTCACGTGGGGTTTGCAGGAGCTGAGCACCAGCCGCTTCCCTCCGCCTCCCTCCCTGCTCTCGGCAGCAGAACAGAGCGGTAAATATGTGCAGCATTACATATGTATAATGGAGTGTAAATAACCCCAAAAAGTGCATTGTAAATAGACTCCAAGTTTATCCTTTATTAATGAGGCACTGAGTGCCCTGCTGTTTTAGAGCAGCGAGACTTTCATAATATCAAAACCTAAATTACACTTGTGTCTCTCATTCCCAGCAAACGACAGCATCATTTCAGGCCTCTTTGCCACTGGTATTTATTTATTCCAGTATTTATTTATCTTTCTGGCCCAGCGTGCAGGGTGGCCCGGGGGGGTCCCCTGCCCTCCATGTGGGGTGCAATGGGCCCCCGGGAGCAGCCCCGTCCTGCAGCAGCACCTGCAGGGAGGACGTGAGGAAACCCCATGGTCACAGGGAGCAGCTTTTCCTTCAGGATACGGGGCCAGGCTCTCCGTGTGGGACTGTCCATCCCACCTGGGCCATTCCTTAGGGATCATACTGCCATGCAGGCAGGGTGGGAGGTGTCCCAGATGATCCATGTTGTCTCCGGGGGCCATGTCCTCTAGCTGTGCTCCAAGGGACCAGGAAAACCTGGGGAAGGTGCAAGGCTCCCAGCTCTAACTCGGGGTCTGGAGGTGCCCCAGAGGCAGGGGGGTATCTGCACTGCTCCAGTGTGCGCAGCCCCAGCAGGGACGGGTGCTGGGGACAYCCACCTGCCCAGGAGGGCCCGGTATCTGAGGCATCTGGTCCTGCTCTACCACAGTGACCAATAGAGACTGAAAAAAGCTCCCTTTTGTGGGGAAAAAACCCAAGTGCACSGGGTTATTTGCTGGGCTGGTCCAGGAAAGGGGCGTGCATGAGACCTGGGGCCAGCTGAAGTGGCAGCGGGTTGAGCTGGTGCCCCGTGCTGCACACCCCTGCCATGCAGCCCAGTCTTGAAAAGTAGTAATTGAGTAAATAAAAATGAAATGAAATTTAAGAAGTAAAAATAAAATAAAATAAAATAAAATAAAATAAAATAAAATAAAATAAAATAAAATAAAATAAAATAAAATAAAATAAAATAAAATAAAATAAAGTCACCGGATGAATTTAGTGGCAAATCCTGAGTCCGCATGTCTCTGGTAAGGCCTCGGCGGGTGCAGCCGCGGTGCTCGCAGGCCGGGCACCGTCGGGCGGGGCCGGCAGAGGTGCCTGGCAGAGATGGAGGTGCCCGGTGCCGACGGAGGTGCCCGGTGCCGACGGAGGTGCCCGGCGGAGGCGGAGGTGCCCGGCGGAGGCGCCGCGCCGGCAGATGGCACTCCTGGAATTTATGGCTCCAGCAAGCTGCCTCTCGGAGAGCAGTCATGTAGGAGATGTCCTATTATATGGGCAGTTGACTTTAATAGTCATTGTGTGCTTAAAGCACAGCAAAAACAACAGTGGGAAAAAAAAAAAAAATCCCCACTCCACTCGGATGGCCCTTTTCCCCCCAGCCCTGCTAGTCTATTTGTACAGTAAATTAAAAATATGAATCACTTCTCTCTACTGCCTCCCCAAACACTCATCCTGTCAGGCTCTGTGTTGTCTTCATTTGTATTACCTTAATTTAATGTTAATTATGTTCTTCATTTACAAAGAACAAGCATTTACACTCCCCGTCTGGGGATTTTCCACGCTCGCCGTCTCCCCGGACGGGGCGGCAGGAAGGGGGTCGCGATGCGGAGCGGGGGGCTCAGGGACGTCCCCCCCGTGTCCCCACACCGTCCACCCTCTACGGTGGCGATCAGCGCTGTTGCCCTCCGATTTATGGAGGTGYACGGCGGCCGCGCTTAAATCCCCGCTAATAAATCGCCTTAAAAAGGTCAGCGGCCGATGGAGGGGAGTGATTTGTGGCGGGGGGGCGGCAGGGATGTGGGGCTGGGAGCCTCCGGGCCATCCCAAGGAAACTTCCCAGCCTCCATGCCTGTGCTGGGCTGGCAGCTCCGCTCCAGTCCCCTAATAGCACCCGGGAATCCCCCTCCCCAGCCCAGCATCTCTGAGGGGACGCACGAGCCTGGGCACATGGGGGGCTTCTCCCAGGGATACGCCAGCCAGCAGCATCCTGCCTCCATCACCCCCATTCCCATGGGAATAGCCTCATTTTTATGGGGTGCAGTCCCGAGTGTCCGTGTTGGGGCTCAACGAGGCCGCRGCCTCCCTGGGAGGGCTGAGGCCGCACATATCGTGACACGAGTGGCACGAGCGCAAGGAGGCTGCACAGGGCGGCGCATSCTCCCCATCCCCAAACCGCTTCCAAACCGGCCTCAGGAGCCGCCTCGCTCACAGGATCACGCTCACACTGCCGCTAACACCTCAATTAACGACAACAGCACCTTTTCCCCCCCTTTTTTTTTTTTTTTGCATTCCCCTCCTTTTTTTCCCCCCCTCCACCAGCACTGCAACGCGCGCCCGGCTGCTCCCCACAGCCACGGAAATATTGGGCTGACGGCTGCGGAGCGCGGCCGGCGCTCCCCGCGCGCCGCCGCCTGTCAGCCCCGCCGCCGATGACATTAACGCGGGCGGAAAGTGATGACAAATGCCCGTTATCAGGGAACGAGGCCTGTGACAAATCGCACGGCGCCTCGCGAGCGGCCCCATTACGCTGTAATAAAAAAAGATGGATGGCCCCGCGCGCCGGCGCCCGGCGCTAATGCGATTTCGCCCGGTCTCGCCGGGTTCTAATTAAGGCAGAAAGCGGCGAGCGAACAGGCGGTGCCGGGGCCTGCCCCCCCCCCCTTGCCAGCCCCTGCGCTGCCCCCCCGGCAGGGGATGCGGTTTTGGGGGGGGGGTCTGGGCTGGCCTGGCGCTGCTGGGGACGTCCGAGGTGCTGCCGGGTCGGGGGGACGCGGGACGGGCGGCCAATGTCACCGTGACCTTCTGCTGCGGCCGTGTGTGGGGACGGGGCGCGGGGCTGAGACCCGGCCAGGAGACCCCAACCCAGCCCCGTCACGGCCGGGGGGCTCTGCTGGTCCCCATGTCCCCTCCCGCCATATAGCCCCCCYGTGCCTCAGTTTCCCCAGGTCAACTGCTGCCTTAGCTGCTGCTTTGCCTGCCCCAGCTGGTTTTCCTGGAGATGGATCCATGGTCCTGGGGAACGGCTCCGTCACTGCGACCTGGGGTGGTTTCCTGGCCATTTCAGGGAGCTCTTTAAAGCTCCCAGATATTCACAGCTCGCTCTGCCCTGTCCCTGTCACAACAGCCTTCCAATGGGGCTTTTACAAACCTGTAATATCACTGGAGCAGAACTGATCCTAAAAGGCAACCATTTCTGATCAGGGTATCCTGCTTCTGCAGGAAAAGCTGCGGCTTTGGGTCTGGGCCTCCTCCCCTCTCTGGACTCATCACATTTTACACCCTGCAGGTATTTTTAGGCTTTTCCAGYGTGGCACTTAACCGTGTCCCTCAATACCTTCCTCTGCAGGATGCTCAGCACCTCTGGTGCTGTCTGGGTTTGTAGTCCCTAAGTCAGTGTCTAGAATAGGTGCAGAGGCCACGGGAACAATGTAAAACCAGTCACCGAGAGCCACAGGCAGCACACCCAGCTCGTGCTCCCGGCGTYGAGTCAGGTATCACCAAGGAGAGGTGACAATGTCCTTCCCGTGGCACTGTCCCACTGCCTGTGTGTCATGGCTCGTGACCATTGCAGGTCCCCAGCAGGGAGGAAAGCACCGTGCCAGGGCACAAAGGCGACACTGACCTGAAACAAGGGCGAACCCGAAGGTACTCGGTGCCTATCACCCATGTCCCACCTCAGGAAGTGTTACTGTCCGTATGATTCCCAGATCCTCCACCTGGGAATAACCAGGCTGGAGGGATGATGCTGGGGAGAGCAGGGGTTGCTCCCAGCAGTTCCCCCCATGGAGGTGCTCGAGGCTGCCCCTGCTCCGGGACGGGGGCCCAGCTCTGCTCCTGGTGCTCCCCGCTCCGCACAGCCCTGTCACTGCAGCGAGTGTCCCCAGGGCCCCTGCCCGGGCCCAGCAGCCGCTTCACTTTCCCTGTGTCTCTGCTGACCTGCCTGTTATAACTATAATATAGTTACAACRCTGGAGCCAACGCAGGAGGTCAGAGCGGGTGGACCAGGCATCAATCAGCTCCCGATGGGCAAGGAGCTGGGGGAATGGGAGCCACCAGCTGCTGCGGGACAGCCCTGCTCTGCACTGGGCAACGGAGGCGCCCCCCTGCCCTCCTTGCACCCAGTGTGGGGACCTCCCCGTGCACGGGGCTCTGGAGGGCAGCAGGGCTGACATGTGAGCCCCTCAGCTGCACGGGTGCATGAGGGCATGGCTGCACGGTTGCAAGGGTGCACAGGTGCAGGGGTGCATGACTGTAAGGGTGCATGGGTGCAGAGGTGCATGGGTGCACTACTGCAGAGGTGCAGGGGTGCAGGAATGAAGGGGTACACAGCTGTAAGGGTGCATGGGTGCACTACTGCAGGGGTGCACTACTGCAGGGGTGCACAGGTGCAGGAATGAAGGGGTACACAGCTGTAAGGGTGCATGGGTGCAGAGGTGCATGGGTGCACTACTGCAGAGGTGCAGGGGTGCAGAGGTGCATGGGTGCACACACGCAGTGGGCAGAGCCCACATGCCCACATGCACAGAGCCCCGTCCCAGCGCGGTGGCACCGGCGGCTGCAGCGCAGGGCCAGCCTGGCTGCGCGGTGCTGCCCAGGCCCTGCGGCGCCCGCCGCTGTCACAGTCCTCCAGCTCCCTCTGCTGCCATCGCGCCAGCGAGGACGCGGCCGCCCCGCTGCAACCAATGCACTGCGGCCGCCCCAGCAGCTCTGCAGCCACCCAGGGCTCCCCAGCAAGGCCCCCGTCCAGCGAGAGCAGCTTCAGAGCTGTCCCTTGCCCTTGCAGGACTTCCAAGCACAGCTCTGAAGTGTGAGCTCAGCCTTTGTGCTAGACACCAGAGATTTCACACCGGGGCTCCAGCTCCAAAATTATGGACATTTGTACGGTGATTTCTTTCAGATGAGGTGATTTCTTTCTTCTCCCCTCTCTGGGCATTCACTTCATCCGCTGCGGCTCTCGGGAGCCAAGGCACCACCAGTCCCTTTCCTCTTAAACCTYGGCAGAAGCACGTGAGTTATCCCCATGGAACACGCTCACCGGGGAGGGAAGGCTCCGCGTGCCGGCTGCTGCCTCCCACTGCCTGTGGTGACGGAGMGCCTGAGTTATGGCCCTGTTGGAGAGACAGCGAGTTGGTAAATGCTCCTGTTTGTGCTGTTTTCCAGCCCAGCGAGAGCCCATCGATCACCAGGCAGGAGTAAATCCTGCAAAGGGACGGGCTGAGCCGCGCGGCCAGGGCKGACACGTCCTGCTTGGGTCTTCTCCACGCTTGGGTCTTCTCCAGACCTGCTCCCGTGCAGGGCATGTGGGTGGCAGCACGGGGCACGTCTGACCTCCCCGTCACGGTCATGAAGGTCCCCGTGCCATGTGGGTGCCTCATGGCACACGTGGCCGCTTGGCCCTTTTSGGGGAGCTCAAGAGCAGCTTCTTTYACAGCCTCAAGYACCTGCTGTGTCACAACCAGCGTTGAGGGACTTGTGGGAGCCACGGAGGAGCTGCTTTGAGGGGATTTTCCCCCAAAAGGCAAGCAAACRGTGAGACATTTGAATATGGTCCAAGACTAACCTGATAGGCCTGGGGACTTGCTCCTCCCCAGTCCCATGCTGCAGTCCAGCGACACCGGGACCGCAGAGCCAAAGCCGCAGGGATGCTGAGTGCCAGGGCTGCCACGGCAGCAAAGGAGGCTGCTCCCGCACCTTGGGGCTGTGGTGGACACCAGGGCCACGTGGGATCTCCCTCCAAAACCTSTTCCCCAGGGCTGTGCAGGTCACGGCTCCTCCAGGCTCAGGAATTGCCCCATAGGAGCTGGGCCCATGGCATTGGCGCTGCCAGGGAGGGGCTGCTGCGCCGGTGCCATGGACTGTTTGAGGGCCACCACACTACACACCAYATCATGGTGGCCCCACTGTCACCTCCAGATGGAGACCCCCGGTTGGTGGGAACAGATCCTGGGATGCCGAGCGCCAGCGCCGGGGCGGGCGCATCCCCTGCTGCATCCCTCGCTCCCGCAGCCCTGCAGGGACCCCCGCGGCTCCAGGGACCCCCGCAGGGCCCGTCCCCCCTCGTCACCCCCAGCAGCCCCTGCCCGGTGTGCCGCTCCGTGCCGACGGCGCCCGGCCATCAATAGCGCTGGCTTAATTAATTTGATGGGAACAGCGGGGACTGCACTTTGCGTTTAGTGAACTTCCGAGAACTTCCAACCTCATCTTCATAATTGGCCTCATAAATTTGAGGAAAGAGAGAAATCAGCAAAGGCAGAGGAGCGAGGGAGGGCGGGAGAGGCCCCGCACGCGGGAGGGCGGGCGGGCGCGTGAGAAGTGGCTCTATTTGGTGTCCTTATTTAATTTTATTGCACAGATCCATCTTCGCCCGCCCCCTTCCTGCCTAGCCCTCTCCCTCCCGCTCTCCCTGCTGGGTTCACCTAATCATGATAAATTCATATTCATTTCCCTGCCTGCTCCGGCGGGGGGGAGCAGCTCCGTTACATCGGCCCGGCCGTGCTGCCATTAGCAAATATTTACTCAGGAAGAGCAAGCAGCCCCTCGGCAGCGCTGCTTCCTCAGCCCCAAGGCCTCTCCCAGCCTGGAGCCGGCCCCGGGGATGGGGACGGGTCCCCTCCGAGGGAGCAGGAAAGGGAAGTGCTGCCCATGGGACGTGCCTGGGCTGTTGGCCGTGGTTGGGCCCCACGTGCGCCGAGGGGCACCGAGCACGGTCGGGACGTGCGGCTCCACTGCCCGCTCTCACGGTGTCGCCACCTTGGGGTTCACTATTTTTAATTGTCAGGATGATCAGGGGGAAGGCAGGAAGGAGGGCAGAGCCAGAGCCCTCCCCGGGAAGCGGCAGCCGGGAGGGAGCCCGGGAGAGGCGGCTCTGGCCTCCTCACCCGCAGCCCCGGCCTCCCTCCGGGCACCGGCCCCTGCCGTGGGCTCCCCCGGCCCCGCTCCTGCTCCTCCATCTCCCTCTCTTGCCCCCGGCTCCTGCTGCTCCTCTCTGTGCGCGGAGGCTCCCAGGGAGGAGCGGGGCCGGCCCTGGCTGGACAGACAGGCRTGGGGACCCCAAGCATGGGGGGCTCCCCCGTGGAAACGGGGAGCAGAACAGGCAGGAGGAAACAGTTCAACAGCTGCAGGGCAGCGAGCCAAGCACAGAGACAGCACAGATTAAAAAAAATAAAGCATTTATTTTACTTCAATTTTCAAAGCACCAAGACATTCATTAAGCCAAAAGACATTCATTTCCATCGGATATTGGGGAGGGGCAGGGGCCCAGGCCCTGGGGGGCAAGGCTRGCAGGAGCCCTGCAGTCCCCCTCGCAGGAGCCCACAGCAGCAGATGCCTCAGAGCAGCCCTGTCCCCAGGACCCCCTGCAACAACCCCAGCAATGACGCAGCACCGAGAACACCTCTTCACCTCCAGAAATTCATCTCCAGGGTATAAAAATAGCTGAGGCTTTCTGAAGAGCCCAAGTCACTCCTCTGGAACCACAGGGGTTAGGTCAGACACAAACACACACACTAACTCCTTCTCTATGAACAGAAAGCAGGTGACCTCCAGCCTCCATCGGTACAAAACAAGGTAAATTTTGCCCAGATCAGAACCAGCCCCTCTTCTCTGCCTGGCACCCACAGAACACGCAGCTGGGACAGGTTACACTCAGTGCTATTTCATTCACAGSCCCTAGAGGACAGCTCCCTGGAGCTGCATGGTCCACCCATCCCCTCCTGCATGGAGAGGAAAGGGGCGGACGCAGGGGCCCTGGGTGCCCTCTGCAGCGACAGCCCCACAGTGCTGGGTGCTGAGCTCAGCACACGGGCCCTACACGGGCCCCGAGGCCCAGGGCGCACAGCGAGACCCGCCGAGGGCACCCGCAGCTCGCACGGAGGGAGGACGCGGCACAACGCGAGGCTGGGACTYTGCAGTCCCCACAGCAGCATCGGGAAGGGGCAGGGCCTGTCTCAGGACGCAGGTTTTGGGGTGTCTACATTGGGGCACAGAGCTGCATCCTGCTTTCTCCATCGCTATGCACGGGGAAGGGTTGGATCCCACGGCTCTCAGCCCAGCCTTTGGGGGCTTCCCCGGGCTGCAGGGGAGGGCGGCGCGGGGCTGGCAGAGGGGCAGCAGGTGTGTGGGGCAGCAGGCTCTRCCCGAGCACCCCGCAGCGCAGGGGGCAGCGCTCCCAGCCCGCGCCCTCTGCCACAGCCGGGCTGCACAGCCCCTTTTTGGGGAACGGGGACATTCAGGGTGGGCACCCCCAGTCACCACGGCGCAGCCCCAGGGCCCTCACATCCTTCACAGCAGCAGGCACAGGGCGCTGGCGACGAGAGCGTCACCAGTCCCGCTCAGAGGGCTCCCGGTAGGGCAGCCCCAGCTGGACAAAGACRTCCCGTTCGGTGGGGGTGGGCAGCACGCGGCCGGAGCCCACCTTGATGCCACCGGGGCCGCGCGGCACCTCCGAGCACAGGGAGTGCTCCGACAGGCTCATGCCCTTGGTCTTGGCCAGGGCCCGCATGGAGCGGTTGAAGTGGGCCGAGCCGGTGAAGTAGAGCAGGGCRCAGGCGAACTCGCCGTAAGGCACCACGATGATGTCGAGGCGCCGGTGACGCTGGCCCGGCCCCGGGAGGCGACACACGCCCAGGTACTTCTTCTGCTCGCCGTTGTCCTCCTGGGTCACCAAGTCGTCGGTGAGGAAGCCTAGGAGACGGAGCAGACACAGGGAAGGGGCTGAGAGACAAAGACTGACCTGCCAAAGCTTCCTTTTCTCCAGAAAGGAACTGAGGTGTCCCAAAACGTGCTGCAGGGTCCCCAAAACCGGCTGGGGTTCTAGCAACCCCACACAGAGGCTGTGCTGAGCAGCAGCAATGCTCCCTCCTTAATGCCAGCCAGGGAGCTGCCCCAGGAACGTGGCCAGGGCCGCTGCACTCTAAGGACTTACAAAATATCCCGTAACCCATCGCCTGTGCCTCTGTGGATGGCACTCGTTTGGAGCCCAGACCTCACTGCCCCTCAGCTCCTACTCGCCCAGGCTGAGGACTGCTTAGGTGGCACATGCCCGTCACCAAGCCCTCTCACCGCTCCTGCGGAGGCTGTCGAGCAGCTTGCTGAAGACGCCGCGGTGAGAGCGCCCGTCGGGGTGYGTCACCAGCACATCCACGTCTCCACACGTGGCCTTGCCCCGGCGGTACGAGCCGCAGGCCACGCACACCAGCCCGGGSTTCAGCGCCAGGGCCGCTTGTCTGACCTGCAAGAGTAGAAAGGGAGGGATGAGGAGTCTTGAGGACAGGTCTCTGCAGCCCTCTCTTGRGAAGTATCTTGCACCTTTCCTTGCACCCTGCTTTAGGGTCCCCATATGGAGCAGCTGTGTAAAAAGCAGAGCAAAGTGTGCAGGGAAAGAGGCCATCCTGCCACCAAGAACCACAGGTGCTTGCATAGCTCCTGGGAGGTTCTGCCCAACCCAGATCCACACAATTGATATCTCCTGTGACTGTCAGTCACCCGGGCAAGCCTGAGAGATGAAGCGTCACTGAGTTGGCAGGACAGGGCCAGAGCCCTCAGCCTCCAGGAAAGGAGGAGGGCAGAGGGTTTTCATGCTCCKTGTGGGCCAGGACAGTAGAGCTCCTGCTGGCCACAAGGACAGCGAGCTGAACATGAGATGGTCACAGGTCCCTCAAGCAGAGAGGGGTTCAGAGCAAATCTCCTCAGCAGGACCCAAGAACCTGCAGTGTCATTTGCAGTCCCATCCTGCTGGGTCTCCGCCTTCAAAGCAGAGCTCGGCTTCCTGAGGAAAACCACTAGCAACCCAGCATTTTATGCTGAACTGATGCCAACCAGCCATATATAATCACACCTTCCCTTAATGCAGCCACTTTTGGGCTGCACTGAAGCCCCTGTTCTGCACAAAGTGCTGCTTCTGATGGCTTCATTCATTAAATCCTTGAGAAGGTCCTTGGGCAGCAGTAGACCATTCCCCACATGACTGTGCCAATCACCCAGTGGCAACAAATAACCAGGGGCCCGCTGATAAGGCCATCACGGGGCTGGGTTTCAGCAAGCCTGTGTCCATGCCCACAGCCCCCTGTCAGTCTGGGGGATCATCCTTCATTAGGAAGAGATAAACCCATTAACCTTTGCCCCAGAGGTGCTCCAAGAAGGCCACGGGCCTTTCTCATGCGGAGCAGCTCCTCCTCTGGTGCTCTTGCCCCCTTCTGACTTTAAATGAAGATTTCTAGAAAGCTCCCGGTCTCATCCCAGAGCCCCAAAGCTCCTCAGATCTCCTTGTGACAGGCAGCACAGACAGTGACTAATCCCTTCTTCGCTCTCCTGGGCCTGGATCAGAGGTGCGTGCGTGTCTATGGAGGGGAGCCCAGTAATCCCTTCAAATTAACAATAGCCCTGTCCCCAAGAGCCACCCTCTCAGCCCAGCCTGCCTGGGAAAAGGGCTGCTCGCCGCTGAAAGGGCTAATCCGGCGCACAGGAGTGACACCCCAGCAGGGACCCTGCCAGGAGGGCATTCTTCGTGGCCAGGGCCTGTGGCCGAGTGACAGGGTCATGCTGGCTGCTGCTTCTATGGTGATCAGCGAGCACGGGGGCAGCAATGGCAGCGTCCCCGAGCTYGCTGCTCACATTAGGGCACACTGGCTTAGCACCCCACGGCCCTGGAGTATCGTGGCCTACCAGAGCAAGCAGCACCCATTTGCAGCCTAAATCTCCTTTGCTTCCCATTAGGTACCCCTGCTCCAACACTAAGCTTGACAGCCAGAGCACAAGTGCTCGTAAGGTGCTCACAGCTTCCTTTGGAATAGGAAGGCAGCTCAGSGGCCCTGGCTGCAAGAAGGCGTCGCAGAGGAGATGAGGGACAGGCTAGGGAGCTGGGAAGCTGCTCATCCCACCATGCCAACGCAGCCTTCCAAAAGCAGGGCAGGGGCTGCAGTTGACAGGCAGGAAGCACCATCCTCCTTGAACCTTTCTACTAAGCAAAGCAGGTGCTTTGCGTGCCCATGTCCAGCAAGGGTCCCCCAGCCCTCATACCACTCAGGAGAGGTGCTGGAGAGCCCAGCTCCAACAGCAAAGCACCCTCCACAACCCGCAGCCTCCCAGCAGAGCCCAGCAGTGCTGTGCTCCGAGGGGCTGCCCTCGAGCTACTCACAGTGCGCTCTATTTCGGCGGCTTCCTCTCGAGACATGCGCTCCAGGAAATCCTCATAGTGCTTCAGCCCCACGGCCTGCTGGCTGGTGAGGGACGCCCTGGCGCGGATATCGTCCAGCGTCCGGAAACCCTGGTGCGGATCGTGTCATTATGTTCAGACATCTACCGAGTCTCTACTCCTCAAATGCTTTCAACTGAGATTTGAGGGGATTACATTCCACCCCGCTCGAGTCCAGGCTAGTCGCAGCTTCAGAGATCACATCACTTATGGTCTAGCTCCTAAGGAGGGGGGATTTAAGCAACCCCACTACCCACAGGCACTTCTAATCTCCACCTCACAAAGGCTTTGCATCTCAGCTAGCCCTGGCAGAAGGGTACTGTTCTTAAGGCATGGTGTTGCTACAGCTTGCTGGAAAACAGGCAGTGCAGGTAAGGGGAAGTAGACAGTGTGAACATGGCTGCATTTCAGACAATAAATTCCAAGACTACAGAAAGTCAAGTTTCATTAATTCTGCTCAGAAAGCAAACTGTTTCTAGAAAAGGAGCCCACCCAGTCACTCACATGACCAGCAACTGGGTCAGCACACCACCAGCAACTGGCTCATGAGCTGTCAAGGCCAGGATGTCCCCATACCAGGCTGGCTCTTAGCAGTGTTGTTGCTACACCGTTTGAGTGGTGCAAGAGGAGCTCCAAGCAGTGATGCTACCCCCTCAATTGCACATCTTCACCCTCTACTCCTCCCTCATCCAAACTCAGCCCCAGTTACAGGGGCTCCATTTTCCCCTGAATACACCGCACCAAAATCAAGTCTTATGTCTCCACCTGCAAAACCAGACACCACTCCTGACCAGTGACCACCAGAAACTATTGGTAATAGCAATTCTGCCATTGTGAGAAGGGGTCCAATAAGCCACAGTGTGGAAACCTCTTGTGTAGGYACTAAACTTACTTGCTGGTACCACATCTGGGCTGTCTTGACCCCTGCTCCCCAAATGTTGGAGAACAACTCCAGCACAGGCACGTTCTCGCTGATGTGATCCAGCTTGCGCAAATGTCCACTCTCCAAGATCTCCAAAATCTTCTCTGCCATCCGCTTCCCAATCCCAGGAATTTTACAGGCTTCCTAAACAAGAAACAGAGGAGTTTGTGGCAAAGTGAAGACCACAGACAGGCTGGGGAGTTGTTAAGCACTCAGAGACTGGCTACCCCCTAAGCAGTAACGGGTAAGTGGCAGGACTAGCTGTGTGTTCTGCTGTCCTCTCTGCACCAGCCTTACATACCCAGTGTCAAGTACAGAAAGACAAGCAGRCAGAAGGGGAATGAAACCCCGACAYACCTAACSGCTGGACCATCAGGCCCAGATCTAATTTGTCTTATGTACTGTCTCTAACGTGTCCCACCTGGCGATGCCTGAGGAGAAGGTGAAAATGTCTTCCCTCAGTCCCAGTGCKCAGGGATGTTTAGTTCATGAGTGCTCAGATCTGGCCTTATAACTCTCAGTGATCTGTTTTCTAGTGATCTGAAAACACTGCAGGTGTGAATCCTGTGTAGCCAGTGTGAATGCTACTGCTGTGTAGCCATCGAGAAAACAATTTACACTGGTTACACAGCTTCCATCARCACCCTCGCAGCAGGGAATTCCCAAGGCCTGAAGATAAGCTACCCTTCAAGAAAGGAGTCTGGGATGAGCTGGGATGCTASGTCCACCTCCCTGGGAAGGTATTTTACCTGATAGGAGGTGACTGGTTTGTGGTAGCTCTTGAGTGCATTGATGGCTTTGGAGTAGCCCAGAGACCTCCACTTGTCGCCCTGGACAGAATAGGCCTTTGCCAGCACTTCCAGCTTCTCTGTGATGCACTCATTGTGATTCTCCTTCTTGCTCTTGGAGGACTGAGCACAAACCCACTTGCTGACAGGCTGGGCCACTGTGGAAGAGCTGTCACTGGTCTCCTCCGATGATTTTAGAGGGTAGCAGCCAGAAATTAGTGCTTCCAGATCTCCCTGGGTCACAAAAGCATCTTCTCCTTCGCTGTCTTCATCATCAGAGTCTTTCTTTAGGGAAAAGCAGAAAAGTAGCCATATGAGAATAACTGCATGCCTCACATATGTCCCCTGGGCATAGAGTATTCCTGGGCAACCCGCAGGSCTTGGCAGGCCTTCCTTGAAGCAACACACACATCTGACATACAAAACACAGCAGACAGAGAGTGCAGCCCAAGTACACACACACCTCCTATGGCCAAGCCCCTGAGACCTAACTGAGGTAAGACACTGGTAATAAACAGGCAGCAGTTTCCAGCCGCCTGGTGTGACAGTGTCAAAATCCCTGACTGGGGACTCCTGACTCCCTATTCCCACCAGGAAACCTTTGGTACATGCACCCCCCCCCCCCATCTCTCACATTCAGACTACATATTCCACCCCACGACACAAATCATAGAAGATATGTGTGCAACTCCGTTTTCATGTTACTGACTTGGTAGTAAATAACCACAGCCCATTTTTTCCCCATGGCTATCTACAAGAAAAGGGGGAGGAAGGAGTGAGACAAAAGACTCCACATTCCTCAGTGACAGAAGGAAGACCCACTGTATACATTTGCTGATACCCTCAGCATTAGGATGCCTCTGTGTGGACTTACAAAACAGTCAGCCTTGGCTTCAGGTAATGAACAAAAGGGGATAGAAATGKGAAGCTGAGCAGAGGCTTTGCAGACTGCTCTGCTCACTGGGGTCCCCCTCTCTCCTTATATATAAGCACAGGAGCTCAACAAGAGTCAAGAGCTCCCATACTATGAAAGCAATCTCAAGTCAGCCCTGCAGTTACAAGTGACACTAAGTCACTTGTAACTAAGTCACTTAGTGTCACTTACAAGTGATACAAGTCACCTGACTAAGGCAGAAAGAGTCTCTGGTTCTGCTGGCTGGGGAGGGTGGCTGTCTTCTGACTATTCCTGCAGGATCTGCAAGTTACAGAGCTGAAGCCTTTCTGGAGAAGAGAAGGGATGTCCATTTGCTTTCCTTTTTGTAATCTTGCTTTCTAAACTCTGCTAATTGGGTTGGAGTGAGGCTTTGACAAACTAGCTTTATTCAATTTGAAACTTTGGACGTGTGACTCCCTTAGGCTACTCTGGCCCGTGAAGCCYTGGAGGAGGTGGATCAGCTACCAAATGCCTTAAGAGCAGCTAAGGAGCATATGGTCTAGCACTACACACGTCTCCAAAGCTGGAATATACAAACTCCCCAAATCTTCACGCTTAGCCAAAGCACTTCCTTGAAGAAATACGACTAGTTCTGTATCATGAGTGAAGCTTCTAAGATGCTTCAGGATCCTATAGCAGCTGACTGCCATTTTATCTTGATGTTAAAAGGAACYGGTACTGTCTTTAAAATATATCCAGTGGTTTCCTCTCTTCTCCCCAAACTTACCTAGTCCTAAGCTTGGACTAAGAGGTTTTGCTCCAGTATCTACAGATGGTTCTGTGCACAAACTAACCACAGAAAATACCAAAGTTTGAAGCAATTGAAAAGAAAATAAGAGCAACAGGGTTTCACATAGARTCTAACTACTTTCTGACCACTAAATGTGAGCAGAAATCATGGCAGCTGCCACGGGACCCACAAGGGTTTAAAAACCCTTTCCTTCAGTTAAGGGGGAGATTTGTTACAGATTACCACTAAATTAACCAGAGTTACAAGAAATAACAAGGATGGGGTAACAGTAAAGGTGACAAAGAGATTAGAAAGCAACAGCCAMTTTATGACATGTTGGATAGTAAGTCTGAGAAGGAATCCCCTCCAAAAAAACTCAAGAGCAGAGGAAAGCCCAAAATAAAGGAGCTTTCAGTGGACTGACAGCTAGGGTTTTACGAAACAGTGTTTTATTTATTAGCAACTGCAAATTTGGAGGGTGCTGGCAGCACYATGTAGAACTGCAGTTCTCAGAGATCCAGGGTAACTTTGCTACAGATAAATGTGGATGAAATCATGTCAAAACCAGCAAAACTAAGTGAAATGCAGAAAGAGAACAGAAAGCTAGTGTCAGGTCTGGAGAGGGTGACTCACAACAGAGGCCACTAATAACCCAGCACGGATATTTAAAACACAACACACAATCATCTGAGTGGCAACCTGATCCACTACACACGTGTCTGAAGGGAGTGCTTGCCAGGGAGCAGAGAACAGGTCAGCAAGGCTCAAGCAGGAACACAGGATGAAATATCAGAGGTTTTCCTAGTTTCCTGAAAGGGAAATATTCTCAGATATGGAATATTTCCCAAAAGGAGGCAGAGGAAACATGATCACCAGAATGAGCCTTGGACTGATCAAAGCCCCAGGACTGCTTCTGCTGGAAACATTTTGATGGAGACAGGAACACCTAAAAGGGACAAAGGGAAGCAGTAACCACGATCACAGCCCAAACTTGCCAGTACTGACGCACTGAAGAACCCAAATGCCTTTGCTTTGCTGAGGTATTCCAGCTGTAGCACTGCAGGGTGCTCTTAGCCAAGGAAAGCAGCACACAGGACCATTCACAAGAACGGCCTGTGCTGAAGCCTCACCTCAGTTGGCTCCTGCTGCCCAAGGACATCCTGGGTTTGAGGCAAGGAATCCCCCRCGGGTGCTTCAGCCTTTGGCTTCACAGCTTCCTGCCCTGCCTGGGGCTGAACCTCTTGGCCAGCCAGGAGCTCCTGCTGCCGCTGCTTCTGCAGCTCTCCCTCCGCCAGGTACCTGCCACAGAACAGACGTCTTCGCACAGGAGCAGGAGATTGCTCAGTCCCCAGATGGTTGCCTGGGAAATCCTCCTGCGTTATTTGGGATGGAGCAAACAACCAACATGAATTTTGCTCTCTCAGATCAGACTCATTACTCTGCTCTGGGCTCAAACACCCAGTTTCWAATCACTTTGCTGACCTGCAGCTTCCATTTCTCAGACTCTTCCTCCAAGGCTCTGCCAATACTCTTTGATTCTAACCTGCAGCTGCTTGCTGCTCCGTTCTTTGTTTCCTTGGGTGCCTAATAGTTCTACTTTTCATCTGCAATAATCAAGAAACAGCATTTAATTCTTGACGTTTCTAAAACAGACTTCCTTGCTATCTCTGACGGATTAGGAAGAAGTGTTTTAGCATCTGTAACAACCACAATACTCCTGGTAGCACCTCTGGACTCTGCTCCAAGTTCTGCTACGAAACAGACCAGCAACCAGGCACAAAATTCATGAACTGTATAGGGAGAAAAGACTCCAAACGTGCCCAAGGGATACGTAACAAGCTGCAGTCTGGGCATCCTGAGCACAGGTGAAACACCAGGGCAGCTCAGCTCGGAAAAGGGGCACTGTAGGGAAGAACAACGGCCTGGSATTCGCATACCTGTGTGGGACAAGGATGCAGTAGCCCTTGGTGCTCAGCAGCTTCTGGTCTCTAATGCAAGCGCTGAGCCAGGACGCCTTCACCAGCTGCAGCCCCGGCGGGAGCCTGGGCAACCTCAGGAGCCGGAAGGCCCGATCGCAGTCCATGTCTTCGGCCACCACGACGTGCGTCGCCTCCGCGCCGAGCTGGCCGAGGACGCGGCCGCCGTTCTGCACGATCTGCCTGCGGAAGATGTCGGCCCTGGCCTGGCCGATGCCGGCTCGCAGCACGTAGGCGGTGACGGGCTTCAGCCACCCTGCTGGAGGAGGAAACGGGAGCAGGAGGTCAGCGGGGCAGGAACGGCGCCCCACACCAGCCRGGCTGCGTGTTTCGTGCTGGGCTTTTTGGGAGCGACGGGAGCAGGGAATGTGGGGGGGGCAGCAGACAGGCCGCACACAGCAACCACCCATCCGCGGCCTCGGGGCCACAAAACGCCTCGTGGAGAAGGGCGCCAAGGCCGCGGCACCCCGGGCAGGCCACACTTACCCCGGGGCGGCCCTGCGCCCTCCTCCTTGGCCACCTTGGCCGGGGCGCTCCTGCCCGCCTCATGCCTGCCCTTCTTCCTCTTGGGGAAGGCCTTGACGATCCCGCACGGCTCCATGGAGGCCGGCGGGAGGCTCGCGCTGGCGGCGCCCAACACCGGCTAGAAACAGATAAATAATAAATAAATAAATATGGGGCAGGAGGCTCCGAGCGGCGCCCTCCTGAGGGCGGCACCGCGGAGGGAGGCGCAGGCCGGCAGGAACCGCGCGGGAAGCCACTTGAAGCGAGGCGGCGCGGAGCCCTCGCAAGCCGCGGGCAGGTGCTCGGCGCAGCGGCGCGGRGGCGGCGGCGGGCCCGCCATGGCGGCGCTTCCGGGCGGCGGGCGGAAGCGGCGGGCGCGTTGCCGCGGCGACGGCGCGGCCGCCATGGCGGTGCCGAGCTGGCGGGAGAGGCTGCGGGCCGCGCGCAAGGCCGCGCTCGTGCAGGACGGTAACCGGGAGCCGCGGAGCGAACCGGCACCCGCAGCGGGCTGCGCCAGCGGCCTCGGCGGGACCGGGACCCTGCACACGGGACAGGGACGCGCACCGGGGCGCACGGGCCCTGAGAAGGGACACGACCGCCGTCGGGGAGGGTCTTATACCCACACAGGGCCCCTGACCATGGAACAGGGCCAAACACCCGGGGACAGGGCGCCAGTCTGGGGGGGACAGGGTCACACAGGCAGGGACAGGGGCCCTACACCCAGGAACAGGTCCCCAAAGCTGGGRACAGAGTGACACCCCCGTGGACAGGGCCCCAAAGACAGGACATAAATCCAGGGGTGCCCTCTGCGCCCTGTCCTCACCGCTGCCTCGCCTCCAGGGAAGAGGAAGATCCACTACCTGTTTGAGGATGGCAAAGAGATGGCCGAGGAGTACGACATGAAGACGGGCCGGTTAGTGAGTAAGTGACGCCGTCCCCTCGTCCCTGGCTGCTGCGGCACAGGGGGCAGCAGGGCCGCGCTCACAGGCCTGGGTTAGTCTTGGGAGGGACCCGCTGCTTAGGGACAAGCTGCGCCCAGCTGSCCCAAAACCAGTTCTGGCTGTGGTTCCACTGAAGGTTCTGGGTAAAGTCCAGCCTAGGCAGAGGGAGCTCTGCCTTCCAGGGCCTGGCACAGCTGGTTTTGGCTACCCTCTCTCCCACCCATCCCCTCTCTTGCAACAGACTCAAAGGCACTAACTGGGGTCACCCTCTCGGGCTGTAGCACGTGCTGGGGTGAAAAGAGGCTTTTTGGCAACTTCTGCAACCGCAGAGAGGCAGAATGTCGGTCTGGATGCTATCCAAAAACCACATCAGCCGAGGTGTGGCACCTGCTGCAAGCCCTCTATGGGCTCAGCCCTGACTAGCAGAAGAGAGACACACTCAGTGCCAGTTTCCTGACTTCAGGAGCTGGCCAGCTAACCAGTCCACTCACACCCGAGTGAAAAAGACTGGAAGTTAGGGAAAAGGCCTCTCATAATGCATTGCGCAACTYGGTGGAGTACTTTTTATAGAATGGAGTAATGAAAACCTTCCTTCTCCTTTCCACAGGTAGGAAATGGCGAGAGAAGAATGCCTTAGGGGGCTTCGGCATGTGGCAGGTGGAGGTGGGAGATCCAACCTCGCCTCCCATGGGAGCACTGGAATCGGAGCTCATAAAGGAGAGCAGCTCCAATGTATGTAAGGGGGCTGCCAGCACCACTCCACCTAGRAACACCCAGCCTTGTGCTTGCAGCTGTAGCTGGTAGAGTGCAGGCCACTCACAGCCTCGWGAGGCAGCCAGAGGCAGCCCAGCCCTCTGCTGAAAACCAGCCCTCTAGCATGGAGTTGAGCAGAAAGAGGGCACTTAGTGTTTTTGTGGTGTTATTTTGGTTTTTTTTT